GGGTGGTTGTTATTGCTTTAAGGGTTGATTCTCTAACAAATGGAGAGAAGGGTAGAGAGGGAAGAGGGGAGGAAGGAGGAGGGGGGGGGCAGAAACGAGGGGGGGTGTAATTGCTTTAAGGGTTTGAATCTCTAACAAATGTAATTTTGTTCTGTTCCAATGGATGTGTTTGCAGCTGGTTATGATTTTTCTTTCGATCGTTGGATATGTGCTACATCTGAGGGATAAGACGACACGACTAGAGGTGAGTTTACTCTCACGATGTCGTCCAGATACGTAACGCTTAAAATGTATCTTGAGAGGTTACTGGTCCCAATATACATTCAAAATGTTGGATCCGTCCAAAATGCATTCGGTCCAAGTGTAGTCCAGATACATGTGCGATGTTGTGTAGTGGATTGAGGCCCGATGTCTTGCGTGGTAAATTTKTTWTTTTTAGCCCTTTTYYTTYTYTTTTKTTTKTTTKTTWYWYTTTTTTTTTTTTTTTTTTTTTTTTTTCCCTTTCCCCTKTGTTGTGYTTTYTCTTTCCAGTTYTCTTTTTTTTTTYTTYTTYTTTTTTCAAAGTTTKTTTTTGCTTGTTTTTCCTTTTTCTTGTTCCAATATTCTATTTCTTCCCCCCTCCCTCCTCCCCCCCTTCTCTCCCTTTTCGAGGGTAGGATGCCACTATTAAAGATGGGTACGTTCCACCCACCCTCTCTCTAGCGGCCGCCCGGCCGCTGATGTTTTTCATCAGCGGCTACCGGCCTCTGAAACGAGCTGGACCGCTAGCTGCGGCAGGTTGACTTCTTTTTCTTCCCTAAGATTTTTTTATTTTTTATTTGTTTTTTTTAAAATAAGAAAAGCCCCATCTTTTCTGGGGGGTAGCAGGCCGGCTTGCTCATCACTGGCATGCAAGTTTCAGATAAAGAAACAAAAATAAAAAAGGACACAGACGACTCAAGATCAGCCTATTAAGCCCCCTGCTGCACGAGACGCTCTGCAGGCGGGGGGGGTGCAAGGGGGCAGGGGTGCAGTGCTGTGATCCCCGTCTGCTGCAGTTTGACTTTGGTAATGTTTGACTTTTGTACTTTGTGATGTTTGACTTTTGTACTTTGTGATGTTTGACTTTGGTAATGTTTGACTTTTGTACTTTGTGATGTTTGACTGTAGTGCAGTGCATAGAAGTTGGGTGTGTGAACTCGTGAAGTCTCTCATCTTTGTCCACCGGTCCCTTTCCCTTTTTTTTTTTTTTTTTTTTTCCTCCTCGAACCAAAAAAATTGGACCATTTCTCGATTTATAGTATTTTATAGTAAATTTATACGTATCATCCTTGCGCAGAGGCCTTGCTAATCTTCTCTCTCTCTCTCTCTCTCTCTCTCTCTCTCTCTCTCTCTCTCTCTCTCTCTCGCTCTCTCTCTCTCTCTCTATCTATCTCTCTATCGTTCCCATTTTTTTAACGTATCTGACAGCGCGATTACATCCATAAATGAGTAAAAAAGTCCTCTTCTGAGTATGCCCCTACTGACAGTCTGACTGCATTCTGCAGCAGGGTTTGACTGGATGCATGGTACGGCTACGGTCTTCCTCCAAACAACGCACCCTGATTATGAATGTATACGAGCTATGTTTGCGGCCCGATACTGTCATCATGAGCGTGCACTTTTTTTTTTCTTCTGGTGAAGGCGGTATGTCCTGACACATCTGTACCGTTCCATTACAGGCTGGCGTGCATTGCCGGTTGATTCGTGTTCTTCGTCTTCCGCTTTTTCTTTTTTTCTTTTTTTTTTTGCAGGTCAATTCCGCATTGATGCACCGAGTGTGTGAAGTTTGACTGCATAAAGTTTGACCGAATAGAATTTCGTTATGTTTGAGTCTGACTGTGCAAAGTTTGACTGTGCAAAGTTTGACTGTGTGGAGTTGAATGTGTGAAGTTTGACTTCAGTGTAAAGTCAAACTGCAGACAGTCGACTCCACACAGTCAAACTTTACACAGTCAGACTCCACGTCATGAAATTCTATACGGTCAAACTTTATGCAGTCAAACTTCAGACAGTCGATCAGCACGTCCAACTGCAGCTATGTACAGATTCCCTGTATGTTGTTTTTTCCCGCATGGAGGTAGATTGACCCTGTGGAGTGCACAACTTCGTGGAGGTAGATTTTATGTTGCTGACCGCTGCGAGCTTTGACTTTTTAAAGTTTTTTTTTGTCTTTTTTTAATATTTTGACTGCATCGAGATACGGAGTGACTCTGTGCAGGAGGCTAACTGGAATATACTCTTTAAGTCAAAACTTTGTGCCGTTTATTAAAAAAAAAAAAAAAAAAAAAAAAAAAAACTCTGTGCCGTTTGACAGCATGGAGGTTGCGTTTGTGTGTACTGCTGCGTGAATTTCCACTGCGGCTGCCTAGAGGTTGACTTCATGCAGTTTGATTTTATCCAGTTTGACTTTATATAGTTTGACTTTTTTAATGCAGTTTGACTTTTTTTAATGCAGTTGACTTCATGCGTGAATCCTGGTACCTGTCCCGACAGGGCAGTTATTTGGACAGGGTATTATTGGCCCACTGGGTTACCTACTGGACCGAGCGACGAATCGGAGCCAGTACTTGTCGGGCCGGTACTCTCTCTCTCTCTCTCTCTCTCTCTCTCTCTCTCTCTCTCTCTCTCTCTCTCTCTCTCTCTCTCTCTCTCTCTCTCTCTCTCTCTCTGTGTCTCTCTCTCTCTCTCTGTGTGGATAAGTCCGGGGCCTCGACCCGGCAACTGGTGGGGATTATAGAAGTTGATGTAAGATTAGACAGTGGTCCCAGCATCGGACCTGAACGGTGCCTCTGTAGTGCTTATACTGTGTTGGGACGGATTAGTGAAGGGTCCAGTTAGCGGGCGGAAACCATTAGTATTAGGATTGGCGTGTCGGTTTTGGCTTTACGATAAATATCAAATACGTGGTGTGCGATTAGCTCGATCCTTTCACAGGTCGAACGTACCTGCCCACGGTTAGTAGCCGGATGCGAGCGTGTTGTGATAGATATGAAATACGTGCTTTCGCTGGTCGAACGGACCTTCCCACCGTTAGTAGCCGGATGCTAGCGCGTTGCGATAAATAGTAAATACGCGGTGCGCGATTAGCTCGATCCTTTCACAGGTCGAACGGACCTGCTCACTGTTAGTTGCCGGATGCTAGCGCGACGGCAGGTATGGGAGTGGGTTTGGGGTGTGATGGGAAGTCGAGGGAAGAAGGCTGGTTTATTCCCCCTGAGGAAGACGGTGTGGCTGCTGTCGAAACGCGGTGTCGGGGACGCCCTACCTGTATAGTTTGAATTGTGCTTAAAGTTGATCTGTGCATCTACTTCCACCTTGGTCACTTGTCGACTTTTGTACTTTTGACTCTTTGACTTCTTTTTTTTTTTTTCTTCCTATGGGACATGCATGGATTGCTATTCGTAGTGTGCACTGTTTGACTTTTTTTTTTTCTTTTTTTTTTTTTGACTTCACTGAGAATGATCAATCAATTTGTGCATAGTGTTTTACAGACCACGTGGAGTTTTTTTTTTTTTTTTTTTTTTTTTCCTCTAACGTGGAGGTGAATGGACGACTTGTGTTCGGCCTTGTGTTATGCCTGTGGTGGTTGTGCAGCTGCAGCTGAGAAATGCCAAGGAGATGGCGAGGGGGAAGAAGGGCAGACCTCCCCCGCCTATTAAGACGACAGATAGAAGTGGGTCGAGAGATATCGGAGCCGGTGGTGAGGAGGACGAGGACGGCTTCCCCTACCCTGGGTTGGGTGGCGGAAACGTCGCGGATCCCCCGAAAAGTGTCGAGGCCTTCTCCTGTTTGCTGGAAGGGGGAGAGGACAACCACCTTTCGCTCGCCGATAGCAATCTTCGACAAATCGCTCTCGTCGTATCCCTTCTGTCTATCCTTACGCCGTTTGTGGTGTACAAGTACATCGATTCGTTGCCGCCGCTTCTGTCGTTTGTCTACAAACAAGCTGTCGCAGGGGAGGACGACACCGTCCCCCTCAGCAAAAAGATCGCTTATCGTGTCGACGTCCTCTTCTCCACGCATTCCTTTGTCAAACCCTTGACTTTGCTTCTCGCGACCATCTTCCTCATTGCGCATGGCGGCCTGGCGCTCTACGCAGTCAGCAGCGACGGGCTCGCCTCCGCGCTGTGGCAGGCATGGACTTTCGTTGCCGATGCGGGCAACCACGCCGACAGCGTTGGCATGGGCCCTCGTATCGTGGCCATCATGATCAGTTTCGGCGGAATGCTCATCTTCGCCCTTATGTTGGGGTTGGTTTCTGAGGCGATTTCCGACAAGGTCGACTCTTTGAAAAAGGGAAGGAGCGATGTCATCGAGAGTAATCACACCTTGATTCTCGGCTGGAGCGATAAGCTGGTACATAGTAATGCTGCCTACTCACACTAGGAATTGGTGTGTGCGCGACTGCATTTATTTATTTATTTAATTAGATATTTATGTATTTATTTATGTATTTATGTATTTATGTATTTATTTATGTATGTATGTATCTATTTACTAGGCTACCAGCCGGGCCGCCTGGGTCACCTTGTTTGCCCGGGCGCGGCCCGGTCATGCAAGGACCAAAGAAGGTCCTAGCCAAAAAAAAAAAAA